AGGTTCCTCACACTCAGGAAAAGGTTCCTCAATCTGAGGATAAGAGTCGTCACTCTGAGCTTCCACACACTGAGGACAAGGTTCCTCACTCTGAGGAAAACGTTCCTCACACTGAGAACAAGGCTCCTCACTATGAGGATAAGGCTCCTCACTCTGAGGACAAGGTTGCTCACTCTGAGGAGAAGGTTCATCACTCTGAGGACAAGGTTCCTCAACTGAGGACAAAGTTCCTCATTCTGACGACAAGGTTGCTCACTCTGAGGACAAGGTTCCTCACTCTGAGGCCAAAGTGCCTCAGTGTGAGGAGAAGGTACCTCACTCTGGGGACAAGGTTCCTCACACTGAGGACAAGATTCCTCACTCTGAGAACAAGGTTCCTCAGACTGAGGACAAAGTTCCTCGCTCTGAGGAAAAGGTTCCTCACTGTGAGGACAAGGTTCCTCACACTAAGGACAAGGTTCCTCTCTCTGAGAAAAGGTCCCTCACCCTGACGACAAGGTTTCTCACTCTGAGGACAAGGGGCCTGACTCTGAAGTCAGGTTCCTCAATCTGAGGGCAAGGTTCCTCACTCTAAGGACAAGGTTCTTCACACTGAGGACAAGGTTCCGCACCCTGAGAAGAAGGTTCCTCACTTTGAGGACTAGGTTCCTCACTCTGAAGACAAGGTTCTTCACTCTGAGGAAAAGGTTCTTCACACTGAGGACAAGGTACCTCACTCTGAGAACAAGGTTCCTCACTCTGAGGACAATGCTCTTCACTCTGAGGACAAGGTTCCTCAGTCTGAGGAGAAGGTTCTTCAATCTGAAGGCAGGTTCCTCACACTGAGGACAAGGTTCGTTTCTCTGAGGACAAGGTTCCTCACTCTGAGGACAAGATTCCTCACTCTGAGAACAAGGTTCCTCACTCTGAGGACAATGTTCTTCACTCTGAGGACAAGTTTCCTCACTCTGAGGACAAGGTTCCTCACTCTGAAGGCATGTTCCTCACACTGAGGACAAGGTTCGTCAATCTGAGGATAAGAGTCCTCACGCTGAGCTTCCTCACACTGAGGACAAGGTTCGTCTCTCTGAGGACAAGGTTCCTCACTCTGACGACAAGGTTCCTCACTGTGAGGACAAGATTCCTCACCCTGAGGACTAGGTTTCTCACTCTGAGGACAGGGTTCCTAACCCTGAAGGCATGTTCCTCCCACTGAGGACAAGAATCCTCACTCTGAGGACAAGGTTCCTCACTCTGAGGACAAGGTTCCTCAGTCTGAGAACAAGGTCCGCTACTCTGATGACAAGGTTCCTCACTCTGAGGACAAGTTTCCTCACTTTGAAGGCAGGTTCCTCACACTTAGGACAAGGTTCCTCAATCTGAGGATAAGAGTCCTCACTCTGAGGACGAGCTCCCTCACACTGATGACAAGGTTCTTGTATCTGAGGACAAGGTTCCTCACTCTGAGGACAAGGTTCCCCAATCTGAGGACAAGATTCCTCACTCTGAGAACAAGGTTCCTCACTCTGAGTACAATGTTCTTCACTCTGAGGACAAGGTTCCTCACACTGAGGACAAGGTTGCTCAATCTGAGGGTAAGAGTCCTCACTCTGAGCTTCTTCACTCTGAAGACAATGTTCTTCACTCTGAGGACAAGGTTCCTCACTCTGAGAACAAGGTTCCTCACTCTGAGGACAATGTTCTTCACTCTGAGGACAAGGTTCCTCACTCTGAGGACAAGGTTCCTCAATCTGAAGGCAGGTTCCTCACACTGAGCACAAGGTTCCTCACTCTGAGGACAACGTTCCTCACTCTGAGGACAAGGTTCTTCACACTGAGGACTAGGTTCCTCACTCTGAAGACAAGGTTCCTCACACTGAGGACAAGGTTCCTCACGCTGAGGACAAGGTTCCTCACTCTGATGGCGGGTTTCTCACACTGAGAACAAGGTTCCTCAATCTGAGGATAAGGGTCCTCACTCTGAGGACAAGCTTCCTCACATTGAGGACAAGGTTCGTCTCTCTGAGGACAAGGTTCCTCACTCTGAGGACAACGTTCCTCGCTTTGAGGACAAGGTTCTTCACACTGAGGACTAGGTTCCTCACTCTGAAGACAAGGTTCCTCACACTGAGGAGAAGGTTCCTCACGCTGTGGGCAAGGTTCCTCACTCTGATGGCGGGTTTCTCACACTGAGAACAAGGTTCCTCAATCTGAGGATAAGGGTCCTCACTCTGAGGACAAGCTTCCTCACACTGAGGACAAGGTTCGTCTCTCTGAGGACAAGGTTCCTCACTCTGAGGACAACGTTCCTCGCTCTGAGGACAAGGTTCTTCACACTGAGGACTGAGTTTCTCACTCTGAAGACAAGGTTCCTCACACTGAGGACAAGGTTCCTCACTCTGAGGACAAGGTTGCTCACTCTGAAGGCGAGTTCCTCAAACTGAGAACAAGGTTCCTCAATCTGAGGATAAGAGTCCTCACTCTGAGGACAACCTTCCTCACACTGAGGACAAGGTTCGTCTTTCTGAGGACAAGGTTCCTCACT